TTATTTTGACAGGTGGTTTGTGTTAGACACAGAGACCAAAGATCTGGTCACGGTACATACAGATGGCAACGAGCAGCTTTCCGTCATGTGCTATTCACCAGGTTGGTATCCCTTTCATCCCGTCCTCTGCTTGACTTCAAACGTTGAAAGCACAAAGCAAAAATTATGTTTTCACCTCCCGACGCAGATGATTTTAAAGGGCAACCAAGCCAATGAAGAAAATGTTCTAGATTTAAAGAGCAGCTCATCATTATAGTACCTAGAGACGTTCCCCGTCTCATCCCTCAATGAAACTCCTAATCTAATGTCTATACCAGTCACACAAACATACCTCAGGGCCATTTTGGTGGAAGCCCTGGTGGGAATTGACGTTCGCACCCTACTGCTGACATGACCACTGCTGCCCACTAAGTCACCGTTGGGAAACCATTACATTGGTAATAATGTTTCTGTCCATAAACCAGTCAAAGTATATCTGTAGCCAAAACTTTGTACTCTTGGATACAGTGGGGTAGGATTAAAAGTAGGGATGCACTGATACTGGTTTTTCGAGTACGAGTGCCGATATTTTCTTTTCGGTGCTCGCCGATACCGCAAGTCACATTAGGAATGGCTCACTGCCAGGCTTCCTGATTAGCTGGGAAGCCGTCTCCATGCTCCCTCGTCCACAGGTGACAAGGCACCATGCCCCCTCGTCACTTGCATGTAGTCAGCTTCCCAATCGGAAGCCTGGGGGAGAGTCATTACCTGTGCCCGGCTTCCTGCTCCCTTTGGACGAGGGAGCACGGAGCCTCCTTCCCGGCCAATCAAGACTGACAGTTACAGGCATGATTACCAGGGCCAGAGACATGTTGGGATTTGTAGGTAAAGCGCATCTGGAGGGCTGGAGTTGCCTACCCCCTGGTGTATGGCTGGCTTAAGCAGAGGTTTGGAGACAATTCCTGCTGTTTCACCAGAACAGGAAGTGAAGGGAAATCTCTCCAACAAATGAGGCGCTGCATTTGAATTCTCGGTAAGTCATTCAGACTACAACAGGGCACAGTGACCTCTGATGAGGCTGCTCTCCACAAAACTGGGACCACCCTTAGGCCCTTTTCACACGGGCTGATCAGGAGGGAACCCCTGCACAGATCCTTTACTGATCGGAGCAGTACGGATCATATGTCACTGTTGTGACATCAGTGTCCATCCAGTTTTTTCCTCCATCTTGCAAAGGAGGGAAGAACTAATACAGCCGGACCCCATGTCAGTCTACGTGGAGTTGGATGTAAACGGACATGTGTCTGTTGACATCAAATTACCCCTGATCCGGCATGATCAGGTCCGGCGGAATAGAACTTTGTTCCTTTTGTTTTCCTGTACCTGTTCGGAGTGAGGGGTGACCAGATGTAGAGGGACGCCCATCTGTTTAGACCCGGCTGCCCATAGACCAGCATTGGGCATCCGATCGGGTCCACCTGAAAAACCTGATTGGACCTCCTTTGTGAAAGGGGCCTTAAAGAATGGACCCAGAGTTGCCAATCCACATCAACAAACTCTAAAGAGAACGCCAAACAAAAGGTCTGGGAGTCAAAAATCTTTAATATTGGTATTAATACATAATAGGAAACAGCCAATGTGTTTCAGGGGCAATATGGTCTCATTTAAGGTTCTGGTATTGTAAGTATTAGGACTTGCAAATGGCACAACCACCAGGAATAATTTGTTTTGTGGGAGGTAAGATACACAGGATCAGTGTATCAGCAGGGCTGGATTTCCCACAAGGCCAATCAAGGCCCGGCCTCGGGGCAGCAGGGAGTAGAGGGGCAGCAGGGGTGTGGAATTCCTATCTCCCGATGCCCGGGACATGCAGATCTGGGCGCCGGGCGGGAAGTTGTTTTCTACATTACCCCTGCTTTGGGCAAGCAGAGCCAAAAGTATAGCGGGTATGCAGCCTGCAGGTCTGCCATTGTCCATTGTGGGGGGTTTGACATTGAGGAACCAGACCTTGAGGCAGCAGAGAGAGTAAATATGGCCCTGTGTATCAGCAAAACACCCCATAACCCCCACACAGCAAATAATCATTCCTTGTGATTGTGCCATTTCCAAGTCCTAATACAACACCTGAGCCCTGCAGAAGGGGAAAATTTTTAAGCCCCTAAAACGTGTTGGCTTTCATGTTTTCCTGTTATGAACGAATACCAATATTAAGGTTTTGGGCTCCCAGACCGCTGGCCGTGCTCATTATAAACCTTATCCTACTGTACCTAAAACTAAACAAAAGCATTTTCCTAGAAAAAGGTCCTGTTTATTGACAGAAAACATTGTCCTAATGTGATCTGACGAGGGCCCAGCAAACCAACAACTCCGTCTCCTGAACAATTATACGTCCACCAGTAGGAAGTCAATTAAAGGAGAACTATGAGGTGAATGCTTTTCACTCACCTCATAGTTCTAGCCGACCTGTGACAATGAGACTGTCACAGGTCGGCTCAGTAGATCGGGAGGTGAGGGAACACATACCGGCGCTCGCTCACTTCTCAATCCTGTCGCGGCTCTCTGCCATGACAGGGGAGGGGCTGGATTCCCCCCGCTCCGATCCGCCTGCGCTGACTGGCGGAACGGACGGGGGAGGGGGCGGGTACAGCTGGCTCTGCCTCTAGATAGCCAGAGGCAGCTGTAATTCACGCAGCTGGGCGGATCCAGACGTAAGTGTCGGGATCCGCTTCAGCTGCGGCGTCTCAGTATACCGCGAGCTGTAGCCCGCGGTATACTGAGCCTAGGGTGACGGGAGGACGCTAGTTTGTGTCCTCCCGTTACCCTAAGGAGAACTATGGGGAAAAGCCCTGACCCCATAGTTCTCCTTTAATAGTGCAAAGAGAATTGCTGAGCTGCTGCTCACCTGTAATCATTGGATGAAAATTCTGCTCAGTGATGTAGCTCCCAACCACAAAACATGGTCTCCTCTCCTGTATGAAATGATATTCATTTATACTCCTTGTAGAATCTGTAGGAATCCTAATTTTTGCTGACTAATCTGAGACCGGCTTCCTTTCCTCCTTCTCTAAATAGATGGAAATTTCCTTGCAATCGGTTCCCATGACAACTACATCTATATTTATGCCGTTAATGAGAATGGAAGAAAATACAGTCGGATTGGTAAATGCTCGGTGAGTTTTTTAAAGGCACAGAAGATGTTTTTGTTTTTTTTCCTAGGCTAGAGTTCCAGTTTATTTTGTTACTTGGCATGCACCCATACCGGTTTTTCTGTATCGAGTACCAGTACCAATATTTTGTTTTCAGTACTCGCCAATACCGGAAGTCCCATTAAGGAAGCCAGGCGGCGTGTAATGAATCGCCCACCCGGCTTCCCGATTAGCAGGAAGCCGTCTCCATGCTTTCTCGTCACCTAGTGAAGAGAAGCATGGAGCCGGCTTTCTGGCCAATCAGGAAGCTGGGAACTGTGTGTTGACTCGGCACCTGGCTTCCTGATTAGCTGGGAAGCCGGGCGGTGTGTAAAGACTCGCCACCCGGCTTCCCGATTAGCAGGGAAGCCATCTCCATGCTTCTCATCACTAGGTGACGGGGAAGCATGGAGCCGGCTTTCTGGCCAATAAGGAAGCCGGGCACTTGTATTGACGCGGTGCCCGGCTCCATGCTTTCTCGTAACCTAGAGCATGAAGCCGGCTCCCCAGCCAATCAGAAAGCCTGGAGTTGCGTCATTACACGGCTCCCGGCTTCCTGATTGGCCAGCTTCCCGACCAACCAGGAAGCCGGGCAGCGTGTAATGACTCGCTGCCCGGCTCTCTGATAACGGACGCTCAAGTATCGGTCTAGGTATCGGAGCATTTGGGCGAGTACGATACGCCCAATACTCAGCATCGGCACCGATACTTGTATTGGTGCATCCCTAATTGTAACAAATAATTTTTGTCTTTTGTTTTCATTTTTCTTCCCACCCAGGGACATTCCAGTTTCATCACCCACCTGGACTGGTCTGTGAATTCCCAGTATCTGATGTCCAATTCCGGTGATTACGAAATATTATACTGTAAGTCATTTATAAAAAATATTTTTAAAAGTATACTTGGTAATCTTGCAACAACGGTCCTTGTTATAGGGTGACAACTGTCTCTCAATTGTGCTTATGCATTGTCACATGGGTTACTTGCCCCCCCCCCAATGGAAGCTACAAGAGGATGTGTTGGGGCACATTGTGTAAGCATGGACCACAGTTGTCACTATCTGGAAGTTTATCCTGAGCATTGATGTGCGTGTGTGAATGGTGCCTTAGTTATTAAACATGCCAGCTTTCGGGACCCGTTAGGTTCCCTCTTCAGGCATACAATTACAATATACAATATATACAATTTTGTATGCCTCATTAAAGGAGAACTATGGGGTTAAGTCTTTTCCCCATAGTTCTCAGGGTAACGGGAGGACACAAACTAGCGTCCTCCCGTCACCCTAGGCTCAGTATACCGCGAGCTGTAGCCCGCGGTATACTGAGACGCCGCAGCTGAAGCGGATCCCAACAATTGTGCCGGGATCCGCCCAGCTGCGTGACTGACAGCTGGCTCTGCCTATCTAAAGGCAGAGCCAGCTGTACCCGCCCCCTCCCCCGTCCGTTCTGCCAGTCAGCGCTGGCGGATCGGAGCGGGGAGGGGGGAATACAGCCCCTCCCCCTGTCACGGCAGAGAGCCGTGACAGGATCGAGAGGTGAGCGAACGCCGGTATCTGTTCGCTCACCTCCCGATCTACTGAGCCGACGTGTGACAGTCTCATTGTCACAGGTCGGCTAGAACTATGAGGTGAGTGGAAATCACTCACCTCATAGTTCTCCTTTAAGGAACCTAATACAGTCGGGGTAGCTTTTTACACTAGATTAAAAAAAAAAAAACTCTACTCCCATAATCCTCTGCTCCTGCGAGCATAGAACCGCTGCTGCTCTAACATTGCCAGCTATCCTTCAAATGCCACTAAACGTCTGCTGTATACTGCAATTGCCTTTTTAAATTGCAGAGGCCATAAGTATGGGTTTGCGCACAAGGTACACATTATTTGCTGCTTTCCCTTCCAGGGATCCCTGCAGCCTGCAAGCAAGTGGTCAGCATGGAAACAACTCGAGATCTTGAATGGGCAACATACACCTGCACGCTGGGATTCCAGGTTTTTGGTAAGCCGGAGTTCTGCTCTCAGAAATTGGCGTTTTGTAGCTGTTCCAGGAAACTGAAAAAAATCATTTGAGTTATTTGAATATTGCCTTCTATAAGGGTGACAAATGATGACCATATGGCAGGTAAACCGATATATAGATGCGATACCCCCAATATGTAAACCCCCAACATCGCCAAGGGTTACACCGTACATTTTTAGGTTGCATGTAAATAAAAAAAAAAGATGACAATTGTTTAAAATATACAAAAGATCAAACATTGACATAACATGTTTATTCATCCAAGCCTAGTTCTATGTCACTTAAGAGCATGTGTACATATACAACAGCCCCCCATCATGAGATTTAATAGAAGTTCCCTGCAGGCTCCTCACTATGTTTTTGTCCTTCCGCAGGGGTGTGGCCCGAAGGTTCAGACGGAACAGACCTCAATGCCATCTGCAGATCTGGAGATCAGAAGCTCTTGGCCACAGGAGATGATTTTGGAAAAGTTCATCTCTTTTCTTATCCTTGTTCACAGTTCCGGGTAGGTTACAAATACTGTCTGTTATTGTGGTCTGAAGTTAACCTGTTATTAAAATTCACTATCCAAATCCTGCCTTCACCTTTGCAACATCTCCAAAATACTCACCTTCCTCACCAATGAAACCTCAAAACTACTCATCCACTCACTTGTTATATCTCGTCTTGTCTATTGCAACTCCCTCCTCATTGACTTCTACACAGGCTCCTCCCCCCTTCAGTCTATCATGAATGCTGCTGGCAGACTCATCCACCTAACCAACCGCTCAGTATCTGCAACCTCCCTCTGCCAATCCCTGCACTGGCTTCCATCCCCCTCCCTTCTCTGCCAATCCCTGCACTGGCTTCCAATAGCCCAAAGGATAAAATTCAAAATATTAACAACGACTTACAAAGCCATCCACAACTCTTCCCCCGGGTATATCTCACACCTTGTCTCAAAGTATCACCCTAATCGTCCACTCCGCTCTTCCAAAGCCCTTCTGCTTTCCAGCTCCCTCGTCAACTCCTCCCATGCTCGCCTCCGGGACTTCTCTAGAGTCTCTCCCATCCTCTGGATCTCTTTACCCCAACCTATCTGTCCGTCTCCCACTCTGACTGCCTTTAGGCGATCCCTTAAGACTCATCTCTTCTGGGAAGCCCAACCCACCTCAACCTAACCGCTCAACCATCACATTCTCAAATAATTCATCCCCACACAGCTCCCTCCTCATGTATCACTTCTCCCTCCCTTTTAGATTGTAAGCCCTGGGGGGGTAGGGCCCTCCTTACCATCTTGTCATGAATTGTATTGTGATTGTAATGTCTTCCTTATATTGTAAAACGCTACGCAAACTATTGGCGCTATATAAATCCTGTATAATAATAATAATTATTATTCAGTAGAACATAAGTAAGATGGGTTAGTGCACTTGGCATTTTTCAGGTTTGAAGCCGTTATTTCCTATGGATGTACAGTGGCACTATATATTACACAGCACTTAAGTGAGGACTTAAAAGCATTCCCATAAAGCCCTGCCCCTGAGGAGTGTGTCAGTTATTGTACATTCCACAGCCATAAAGATACCCTCTAGGGGCCAGTTTGGTCAGACATCAGTTGACCTACCAGCATGTTTTTGGGTTGTGGGAGGAAACGGGACATGAAAGGAAACCTTCACAAACAGGAATTCAAGCTCAGGATTAGAGTCCTGATCACTAGACCAGCCTCTGCTCTGCTTTACAATATAACAGTGCCAAACAATTGTTGGTCTTTTTTTCCCCTCAGGCATCCAGCCACGCTTATGGCGGGCACAGCAGCCACGTTACCAACGTGACCTTTTTACAGGCGGACAGACACCTAATCTCTACCGGTGGGAAAGACATGAGTGTCATGCAATGGCGCCTTCTCTAATGCCACCCGCAGCCCTGGAGACTGCCCCAGGAGAAGATCTACACCATCGCTTGCCTTTTCGAGTATGATGTGGGCTGTTTCTTCGACCGTGTCGGAGACCTCTTGTACAAGAACTCAGGAACCCAACACCCCCTTCACTGGTCACCTGACCTCCCAGAATCACCTCTCAGCTTTCCAAAATGGGGGACAGTCTATACCAGTGGTGGCCCCTGTGGCCATAGTAGGAAAAAAAAAAGGTCTTATTCTTTATTATTATTATTCTTCTATCCTGTAACACACACATTTTTGTGCAGCTGGATAAGAGAATGGAATGAGGAGCTGCAATGGTTATATTGAGTGTTACCGCGGCTGGTTAACGCAATGCCATTGTTGGCAGTGGCCATGACTGTACCCAGCGTTAATTTATTAGAGTTGCATTGCATCTCAGAGAAGCGATCAGTTCACCTTTAGTTTATTCAGGAATAACACTAAAACCATTTTCTTTTTTGTTTCTTTTACTGATCAGAATTTAAAAAAAACAATAATATTTGTTCCACTGGGGGGTGTCGGCCTGTATCTAGGAACCCCAAAACCTTGGTGGTTGGCTCACCACTGGTGTAGAGTTGCAGCATCACCTGACATGCATTACACCATAACTCGTCAAGCTTGAAGGTCTTATATCCAGACGTCACGTTCTGTGTCTATAACGTACTGTAAGTTTGTGTCATGACAAGCCTTTCATGAAATCATATTCTCATGTCACGCGTTTCACCCCAGACAGTATTCAAACCAGGATGGTAAGATCCATCGGTACGTCGCAACCGCAAACACGTTCTACCAACGGTATACGTGAATGTTTTATAGGTGTTCTGTATAAGTTACGGCTCGTAATGTATTCGCTTGTCCTCGGTCAGTCATATGCACATTGCAGATCATACTAATAATCCGATTGTTAACGATATCTGGGCATTGTGAATGTTTGCTTTTCACAGAATGTATTTCCATATTTCCAGACATATGTGTATCAGTTGGGGGGTGGTGTATAAACTGCAATAATGCTTTTTTTTACGATGATCCGTTTTTTTTTCACCGGGTGCTAGTAGTGGAATGTCACCTTAACGGCGGGGTCAGACAGGTGCTTTGTTTTGTTTTTTGTACCGCATCTTACAATATGGGGCGTAGCTAATGTTTCCCGCCTATCGTAATGTATGTTTAAATCACCTAACATGCTTCACATAAGAAGGATATACTAACATTGTACAGCACCTCTCTGTTAAGGTGTGAAGGATGCTATACGGAGACCCTGCTCGCCGTGTCTAATGTGTGAAATATCTGTAAGAAATAAGTCAAGGCAACTGGACTCGCTGTATTTTTCTTGAAGACGTTTCACTGGTCATCCGACCGGCTTTCTCAATTCAGAATTGTGTGACGGTCACAGGGCAGCTTCTTGGCAGATCCTGCGCAACGCATTTGCAGCAAAATAAGTTGTTTCTGTGCTGCAATTAGTACGCATCGGAATGGTACACGTCTCCTTTAGTGGATCAGCCGATCAATTCCGAGGATCTCGCAAAACGTTACTAGGGTAGTGACACAAAAATGTATATGTAACCCCAATCATGTCACCTCCGTGCCATATCTCCTTCACCTTTGAATGCCAGG